TGTCGGAGCCAGCCGACAATCGATCAGGTCCAGAAACCTGTGCTGCAGGACTGAGAAAAGAAAGACAAGACTAAAAGATGGGGTTGAGAGGGTCTCACTCTAAGCCCGCAAGACGCTAAGCCAAGAATGGACATTGAGTTTATTTTCAGCAGTTAATTTATACAATTTCAACTAGCTATCTTGTGCATTCCTGCACGTAGGCATAGGTATTGTTTTAGGGCTCATTATCTCGTATATTGTTCTATAGATTAACATTGTTTATAGTACTCATACACTAAAGTCAATGTTCCCCCATCTCAAGATCACTAACTAAGATAATTATTCAAGTAAACTGAGATCACTTAACTTGTATGCTGATTGTATCTCTCTGTTCTAAGGTCATCAGTGACTTAATAGCTCTGGATGTTCCTAGAGCTTTAGAACACCTGGTGCATTCTTCTTCAAAGGGGTGGTGGGACAGAGATTGTCTTTGCTAGATCAATCTCAGAGCCTGACGCCAGCACTTTGGGATTTTCCGTCCCGTTCTGTGCTCGGCAGTCCTCAGGTCATGAGTGGCTCCCCGCACATTCCCTAATGACTGATGATGTTGAGCATCTTTTCATGTACTTGTTGTCCATTTGTATACCACCTTTGATAAAATGTCTATTCAAATCTTTTAAAACTAAAAAATTAAACTTTTTTTTAAGATAATTGGAAATTTATGTATAGTTGTAAAAAATAATACAGCGTGGTCCTGTTTAACCCCTTACTCAGTATCCCCGAATGATAACATCTTGCATAGCTAAGTATAGTACACTATCACAATCACGAAACTGACATTGATACAGTCCACCCATTTTACTTGGATTTCCAGTCATACACGTACTCATTTTTGTGTGTGTATTTTGTTCTATACAATTTTACTGTAGGTATAGGTTCGTATGACCACCACCATAGTCAAGATACAGAACAGTTACGTCACAACAAGAATCCCTCTTGTTATCCTTTTATAACCACCTCCCCTCTTTTCACAACCATTAAACTGTTTACTGCCTATAGTTGTAATTTCAAGACTATTATGCAAATTGTATCACACAGTACATAACCTTTGGGGCTTGGCCTTATTCACTCAGTATACTTCTAAGATTCATCTAGGTTATTGGGTGTATCGATGATCCATTCCTTTTTATTAATGCATAATATTCCACAGTACAGATGCACTGCAGTTTGTTCAGTTCTTTACCTACTGAAAGACATCTAGGATTTTCCCCAGATTTTGGCTCTTAAGAATAAAATTACTATGAACATTTGTGTATAGCTTTTTGCCCTTTTGAAAATTTGGTTGTTTACTTATTATTAAGTTATAAAGTATCCTTTCTACATTCTAGATAAAAGTTCTTTGTCAGATATATGGTGTACAAATATTTTCTCTCAGTCTGTGGCTTGCCTTTTCATGTTGTCGTTTGAAATGAAAAAGTTTTCAATTTTGATAAAATCCAATTCATCAATTTTTCTTTTATCTTTTTGTGCCTTTGATGATATATCTAAGAAAATTTTGTCTAACACAATTTCAAAAAATTTGCTCTTTGTTTACTTCTAAATTTTTTTAGGTCTGTGATCCATTTTGAGTTAATTTGTGTGTATGGTATG